ATAATATGTAGTTGCAGAGTTTTTCACATTCTATCGGAGCTATTTTCCTCAACAGCAATCTCGTCTTTCTCTCATCTTTCCTGATTGCTTATTTGTTCATATCTACGAACATACACAGAAAATGTCAGTCCTTCATCAGGATTGTATGCGAATTCTGATATAGCGTTTTTTTGACAACGTCTGCTATAAGAGACGTTGATTTTTTTTTTTTCAGAATTATATCCAGAAACTCCTGTTGTTGTTTTTGTAGTTCTAGCAACTGTTGATTTTGTTGTTATTGCTCTTTCTGTTGTTGTTGAATTTCAACTATCGAAGCCAAAATTTGATCCATATTCGTAAGAATATGTTATTTCTACAGCCAAGAGAATTTTTTCTTCTACACAAGGAGAGAACATTTTTTTTAAACCAATGTGGTTAGAATTATTGTCATCACCAGTATCCTTGTTCCCGAAGCAACAAGTATATTTTTCCGTAATTGTTCACTCAGTAGGAGTTTCCAAAATTCTTGTAAGTCCAGTTACAACTCGTATAGGTTCCTGAATCCTCTTCACTGTCATAAGTCGTATGTGTTCTGTATCCGCATCACAACAGTTACAAATCGCCTGAGTTTCGAATCCCTAGTCGCCACAGTTAACCGTGACGCCTGTATTACTTAGTCTGAAGACTGACTCGAAACGTCTTCTTTTTACCTCTGACCTAGAGCTCTTTATAATAATGGACTAATTCATATCGTCACTAGCGGTTTACTCTTCGATATGTCCCGGAAAGGGATATATTTGTTCGAAGTAGCAAGTCGTTGTTTATTGTAACCGGGTAGGACAATCTAGCAGGTAATCGTAATGGACTGGTCCTCGTCGTAGTGGTAGGCAATAGGCGTAGTCCATGTACCCCCACATCAGTCTGTATTTATGGCTGACACCAGCCAATCGTATTACTGTGGGGGGGAGACCCAGGTGTATGCATATTCATTACATCATTATTTATTCTACAACAAGATATTTAAGCGTTTTAAATGATTTAAATGTTTTAAGTAATTTTTCATCAAGGCATAAATTACATCTATCGCCTTTCCGATTCTAATATTTGGCTTTAGCTATAATTCCCCACCTAATAATGAATGTATTACCTCCATTTTTACCGTAGAAAATAAATGAATCAATCTAATACGTTATCTCTATTTACATTGTCGGACTATTGTCCTCAACTTTTCGACATATTTATTACAACATTTCGGCCGTTGTACGCTTTGGCCTTCTTCAGGTGGTTGAAATGTCGAACTGAACCCTTTATTTCGCTCACTGGAGTAGACTGTTCTAGTAACACGTGCCAAGTCTAATAGATGTCAGTTATCTGTTATCTCCTGTTAATTTCCATCTCGAAGTTCTCCACCGCCTTAACGAAGTATCGAACTCACACTCTTTAGGTTCTGTCACTGGATCTAGCTAACGTCTTTATGTCATGTGTCCTTTAAGGCGGGAGCGTACAACGGCCGAAACGTTGGGATAAATATGGCAACAAAGATGAGGACGATAGTTCGAACAATGTAAATAGTGTACATAATACCTCATCTCAGAAATATAAACAAATACGCTTTCTTTTTTTTATTTCCTTTACTAGTGCCTGTTCTTCTCAGCTTGTGACTCGAAGAAAACGTATTAAACTATTTTTTTTTAAATTTTTCTCGCCAGAATCTATTTTACACAGTTATAAGTCTACCATTGGCTACTGCATTGAATATTGCTGCCACATCTGGTTTGGTGCTTCTGCTGTGTATTTAGAGATAATTTATAAAATTCAGAAAGAATCTGTAATGTTATTGTCTTTGACCTGGCACCTTGGGGACTTGTGTCAATTCCCCACCCCAGCAACGTAGCTTCCTTACGTCGTTTCCATAAACATCTCGACTTCAAGAATTTAAGCGCAGGACACGACTGGCAGCTAATTCTCATCGTTTTACAGTTGAAATGGCAACATGTAACCGCAAGTTCTATGCTAACAGTTTCTTCCCCTCACACTTCTCGCTTGTGGAAATCTATTCCGGCTTCTTGCTTTCCAGTCAACTTTGAGCTTCAAAAATCTGAATGCAGCATAAAGCCATAAGATATGTTAGATTGTAATATATTTTTTGAGATAGTAATAGTTTACAGATACAAGTCTTACTAATTAACCCATAGCTGGAGGAAGAAAGAGTAGATTCATGCCTTTCCCAAGGCGTAGATGAATATAACGAACGCAATGGGAATTGGACATTGGATCTCCGATTCATAATTCCAAAGTTCTTAGATATTGAACTAACGCATATCCAAGATTTATAGTACCTGGCATTCCTAAGCGGTCAGCTAGATACGGACCATTCTTGGTCTTGCCTAACTTCGGTGGTCGTACTCGGCACTTGTTGACAACTGACAAATTCCAGTATCAGTTCGAATGAACTTACCTCGATAAAAATTGGAAAAGATCAGAAAAATTGTCTTGCACATTTCCTGATTAGAGAAATCCTCATCGCTTGTTTCTTTTAAGAATATTTCAATGGCGGATTTCTTTCTTTCTTTCTATCTATCTATCTATATATCTATCTATCTCTATGTATTTATGTTCGTTTCTATCTATCTATCTGTGTGTATTTCTATCTATCTATGTCTGTTTCTATCCATCTATCTATCCATCTATCCATCCATCCATCCATCCATCCATCTATGTCTTTTCTTTCTTTCTTTCATCTATGTATCTATCCATCCATCTATCTGGGTGTATTTCTATCTATCCATCCATCCATCCATCCATCTATCCATCCATCTATCCATCTATCTGGGTGTATTTCTATCATCTATCTATCTATCTATCTATCTATCTATCTATCTATCTCATCTATCTCTGTGCACATCTTTCATCTATCTCTATCTATGTTCGTTTCTATCTATCTCTCTATCTATCTATCTATCTATCTATCTATCTATCTATCTATCTATTCTATGGCTATTTCTATCTCTCTATGTATTTATGTTCGTTTCTATCTATCTATCTGTGTGTATTTCTATCTATCTATGTCTGTTTCTATCTATCTATCTATCTATCTATCTATCTATCTATCTATCTATCTATATCTGTTTCTTTCTTTCTATCTATGTATCTATCTATCTGTTAGTATTTCTATCTATCTATTTATCTATCTATCTATCTATCTATCTATCTATCTATCTGTGTGTATTTCTATGTCTCTATGTCTGTTTCGATCTATCTATCTATCTATCTATCTATCTATCTATGACTTGTATCTATCTACCTATGTCTGTTTCTACTATCTATCTATCTATCTATCTATCTATCTATCTATCTATCTATCTATCCTCAATGAACTGGTCTTCTTGGTAAGCAACTAATTAAATAAAAATAAATTCTGTTGAAAGATTTGCCAATTCAGCATTGACCTGAAGATCGCCACAGAGCTCATCTTCTAAAATGCTTCCTGGAAACAAAAATGTGGGGTCTGCTTCGAATAATTTGTGAAATAATGACATCCCTCTTGATCTCAGAACTTTAGACATTTTTTTTTTATTTTTTTATTTCTCCTTCTCTTACCGTCTTTCTCATCAGTACATAATCTTTCATGCAATACTTGAAAGGTAACTAAAATTGTGTTCGCGAAATCCTCTTATTTGGCGCCTTTTTTTTTTTTTTTTTTCATCATCCCCAGCGAGTGTGTCTATGAGCCGAGAATGAGTACTTTAGTCAAATGTCAAAAGACATTTGGTGCTGGCTTACGAAAATAGAAACAAGGTTGCAAATATCTGGAGATGGTTCGTTTTGATTTGTTGGTTTTAATAGGAAGAGACAGTTCCTTGCATTATCGAGGGATTAGGTTTTATTTGTTGTCTTTTTTCTTCGTGGCAGACGTTGACCCTTCACTACTAAAGAGAAAAAGAGCCGCAAATTAACGTTACGTGCACACGGGATTATTAGTTGAAGAGAATTATTCGAGATGTCTAAAATGTAGCAGAACCTGTAATATTGCAGTTCAGAGAGAGAGAGAGAGAGAGAGAGAGAGAGAGAGAGAGAGAGGGAGAGAGAGAGATAAACGAAGAGAGAAAGAGACGAAAAGAAAGAGACGAATACAGAAAGAGAGATAATCGAAGAGAGAGAGAGAGAGAGCGAGAGATAGAGAGAGAGACAAAAACTAAGAGAGAGAGAGACGAAAAGAGGGAGACGAAAGATGAAATAGAGAGAGAGGTGGGGAAAGAAAGATAGAGCGGGAGAGACAGATAGAGAAATAGACGAAGAGAGAAACAGAGGGAGCGAAACGAAAGAGTGAGACGAAGAGAGAGAGAGAGAGAGAGAGTCGAAGAAAGAGACAGACGACGAGAAAGAGAGAGAGAAGATGAAGAGAGAGAGACGAAGAGAGAGAAGAAGAAGAAGAAGAAGAAGAAGAAGAAGAAGAAGAAGAAGAAGGGGGATGAAGACAGGAAGAGAGAAACGAAGACATGAAAGTGAGAGAGACGAAGCTAAGGTGACGAAAACAGAAAGAGAGAGAAGCAAAGAGAGATTGACAAAGATAAAGAGACTTTGAGAGAGAGAGAGAGAGAGAGAGAGAGAGAGAAGTGAAAAGAAAGAGAGAGAGCGAGAGAGAAAGATAGAGAGAGACAAAGAGAGGAACAGAAAGAGCGAGATGAAAGGAAAAAGAGTGAGACGGAGAGAGAGAGAGAGATAGGCGAAGAGAAAGAGACGAAGAGAAAGATATAGGCGAAGAGAAAAAGAGAGAGGCGGAGAGAGAGAGAGGGGGTTCTATGAAGACCGGAAGAGGGAAAGAGATAGACGAAGTGAAAGAGACGAAGATAGAAAGAGAGAGTAACGAAGAAAGAGAGAGAGAGAGAGAGAGAGAGGGGGGGAGAGACTTTTCATATCTATCTATCTATCTATCTATCTATATATCTATCTATCTATCTATCTATCTATCTATCTATCTATTTAATGCATAAATTTGAGGATTATTTATTTGTTTGCCTATGTATACACACCAGCAGACGAGTACACGCCTGCTTATATTTGACCGTTTCATTTATCTATCTATCTATCTCAGTCTGTTTATATCTATCTATCTATCTATCTATCTATCTATCTATCTATCTATCTACGCGAACCAACTGTACGACAAATCTATCATCCTAGGTATCTGTTATTTAAATATATCGTAATAGGCGGTGAAAAGTGTGTACTATACAACAATGGTAATTGCAAAAAGCAGTAGATTGACAAAGACAACTCCACAACCGTTGAATGAAAATAGCAATAGATTGACAGGGATAAATATCTACAATCGACATCAATTGCACATTTATACCTGCGGCAGTTGCAACGTGTCCATAAAAGTTTGGTAGACGCCACGTGTTCCTTGAAAATGGCAGACTGTCTAAAATACTTCATGAAAAACAACAAAACAAATACGATCTTCAGATTTGGATCCTGGCGTTCAACATCTTGTAAAAAGGCAGTAAAAATTAGACAAACAGATCTTGGTGGTTATCTTATATATAAAGTACAGTGTATGAGTGTGTGTTTGTGCGTGTGTGTGTCCAAGCAACTCTTCCGCACGCACTGGCCCGATTTCAATGATCCATAGCTCATTCAAAAGCCCTAGAAAAGTTAGAATGATTTTCGTTGATCACAGATTCAGGGTTGCCACATTATGCGCGGTTAAAAATATATATTAATATATTATATTAGCCCTTATCGTTGCATTCATGGTTGAAGGGGAGTAACTATATTTTCCTTTTGTATCCAAAATTTCACTTAGCTTAAATTTTTAAGCCAGGTAAAATTTTAAACTATCGGGCGGCATTTGAGGTAGAACCTGTGGAAGACTCTTAGTTTGGCCGTCATTACAATAGTAGTCAGAAGTAGATGTGATAGGCATCAATAAACTAAAGAACTCAAAATTTATCATTGCATTTAAGTATTGAATTAATTTTTAAGCTTTCCTTTTAAAAGTTCAATGATGATTCTTCTGCTGCCACTTAATTTAAAGATGATTTGATGTATGTAGATCCTTATTTTCTGTACAAACAATTATTTTTATTTCATGGGTGACAGAATGAGAGAATTTATAAGATAAAATTAATATAGTGTCAGGATGCGAAAATAGAAATTAGAATTAGTTATACATTCAACATTTGAAAAGTTAGAGAAACATAATAGCTAATAAAAATAAAACCTATATTATGGAATCTATATGAATAAATATGAAATTAAGCTCAATTCTCATATGAATTCTGAGATTAAAAAGTCCCATTTCTACTTTATAGTAATTTATAATAATTCAAACACAGGTAATAATTTATCCAATGAAAGCTAGATAATAATTTAGCCAATGAAAATAATCGATAATAATTTAGCCAATGAAAGCTCAATATCTGTATTATATATTATGTACTTCTAGACAAATCACTCTTCAGGTTAAACTAATTTGCATATTGATTTAAAAAACAGTTTATTTCATTAATTAACTGCCCTTCATTACTGTTCTTTTATTCGAGGATTGTTTTGATTTTCATATCAAAAATAGTTCTGCTTAGGAATATCGTGTTATATAGTGCGGAAAAGTTTTTGAAATTTACATTTTACTTTGTCTTCAACAAGTTGGCATCTATTTGTAAAACCTTCCTTAACTATAAGAAGCCAATTTATGAATGAAATGTTCATTTAAGATTTTTGTTTCAAGTAGTGAATAAATCTTACTTTGCGAAGCGATAGCGAGCGGACGATGCCTGCTAGTTTCCTATAAAATATTAAGAAAAGGAAAAAGAAAAAGAAAAAAATAAACGAAAAAAAGTATAATTTAAAAAAAAAAAGAAAGAAACGAGAAAAGCGAGGAAAAGAGATAAACAGAGACAATGAAGAAAAAGAAGGAAGTAGATAGGGAACAGAAATAATAGAAAGATAAAAAAAAACGAGAAGGAAGAAGAAAAAAACAAAAATGGCTGACACAGTGCCCATTAAAAAAAGCTGGTAGACACGAAAGAATTATTGGTGCATTGTATGTTTTTTTGTTTTTTTTATAAATATATCAAGATATAAGAAAACCATTTCAAGTAAAACTACGAAAAGATGAAGAAAAAAAAAATGAAGTAACAAAATCGTCTGCTTCCCGCAAATATTTAGTTATTTCACAAATTATTAAGTAAGAATCCATAGACGTAAAATATAAAATTGGAAAAAATTAAAAAAAACAACAACTCCTTATTCGAAAATGATAAAAAATGATAAAAAATGAAACAAACAGACCTTGTCTGTTTGTTTATACTTGCTGTCTAAATATACCTTATTGAATTCGATTCTCACAGGTTGCCTCATACATACGGTACAGCTTTGTGCCACATCCAAGCCACGCTTACTAAATTGCTACGAGCACATTGACATAGTATACTGATTAGCAAGCTTGTCTCCAAACACGGTCAGCACATTGAGGACGTGTTCTTAGTTTATGCGGTTGGAAAAATGTGTATTTAATAAGTTTTATGAATGTAAAAGACAATAGGAAAACTGTAATAGTTGCCGACGCGTTTCGTCCAATGTAGACTTTCTCAAAGCAAAAACCGAAATGAATTTATTTAAACAAAGTAACTAATAATAACAAAAAACAAAATGCCCTTAGCAACTGGAAGAATTTCGAGAACGCTATTTGCATACTGTTAACGGAAAATTACGTCATTTACTGTCATGTGTGGAGATATTGTTATTTTGGCTGAGTTGACAGATTCAACCATTTTCTTTGGATTTTACTACTCTCCCAAACAAACGTACACAACAGTATCAAGAAATCAAAAGATTGAACATTTAAAAGGTAAGCTTACACACACACACACACACACACACACACACACACATATATATATATATATATATATATATATATATATATATATATATATATATATATATACACATGCGCTCACATACATACACGCATACATATATGTATATATACACATACAGAAACAAACATAAATATATGATATTAGTTATGTAGTAAAATAATAACTGAAGCATTCAACAATGTATTTGTCAATACAAGTTACTTCTTGTATACTTATTCTAGTTAGTAACTAAATAACTGGGCCAGAATAAACTTAACAAGAATCGGCAAAAACGTACAGTGCTGTTCGATAAAAGTGACTCACCTTATCCTTTGAATTTAGCTCAACTTTCGTTTCATCGGAGAAGAGAACATTGTTCCAGTCTTCTACGGTGAAATATTTGTAATAGTGAGTCCATTTAAGTCTCTTGGCTTTGTTGGCTTTGCTTATTAGCGGCTTAAACCTTCGTGTACAAGACTTGTAGCCTTGTTCTAACAAGATTTGTAACCTTGTTCTGACGGACTGTTGAAGAGGCAAGACTAACACCTTGCTCTTCGCTTAGGCTGGCTGCAATTTCTTCGCTAGTATTCTTCGCAACTTCTCTCTTGATTACCCTGCCAGTTCTATCATCAATCTTTTTCTTTCCTCTCCTTGTTTCCTTCCTTGGAGCAGGAGTAGCATCATTATATGCCCTAAGCACTCGAGAGACAGTTGATTGCGAGGTTATAGCAATTTCTTCAATTTCTCTCATAGACTTGCCTGCTTTTGAGAGGGCAATAATAGATGCCTTTAGTGGTTCTGATGCGTGTTTATAGCCTTTCATCTGGTTAGTGACTTGAGGGGCTATTTCAAGCTGTTTTTATACTGTATGAGGTTTTCTGGAATATTCTGGAAAACTCTAGATTTAATTTAAGCCGTTCTAGAATTCTCTAGAATATTGTTCTGAGTGTATTGTAAAATAGTTTTCAATATTTTGTCAAAAGCTCTTTAAATTTACCAGTTTAATCATTAGAATGCGATGTCTGAGTCACTATTTTTGCACCGAGTTTTTTTTTCCTGAATCTCATTTATATCCAAATTTATAATTATCAATAGAATACCTTAGGGTGAATAAACTTTTTTCCTAGATGGTTGAGAAGGGGGTCTTTATATTAGTAAGATTAAAACTTATTTTAACCCCCCAAAAAATAAACAAAAAATATTTTTAGTAAAAAAAATCAGTTGAGTTATTTTTATCGAACAGCACTGTATTTGACCACCTGATATATATATAGGTCCTTGCTGGATTGGACAATCGTTATATTTATCTTCATATATTTATATTTGATTTGTAACCTGTAGTCGATATTAATTTTGTCAAATTTTCTCAATTACAAAGCGGCCCTTTAAGTAAACGCAATTTTACTTTCCTTCGTCCCATCTCTCTCCCCCACCTCCTCTTTCCCCTCCCCCTCCTTCTTATTCTAGCATTAAATTGTCTATGGTGTATATATGTCACCACGAAATGTATCTTTATGCATTAGACATCCATCGACATTCATTCTCTTCTCTTATTTAAAACCCTTCCCCCCACATCTCCTAAAATTCTCTCTGTTATGGTTCAATCTCCTTCCTCCTCATATTTACACTTTCTCTAAATTCTGTTTCCACTTCCCGAGTGGGTTTTTTCTGTTTTCATTTTGAATTTGTAGGTCTGATGAATTGGATCGTATTTAGGATTTCAATGGAATAAATTATGACCATGGAATATTAGTGTTTAAGCCTTTTTATTATATCCTTACTCTGTCCTAGACATTGAGTTCTACCTGGATTCTTCCTCTTGGAAATTTTTTTCTGAAAATATACATGTATGGGTATTTATATATTTTGCATATGTATGTATATTCTCCACTAATATTATATAAATATGTATTTTTTCATTAATAGAAAAACATTTTATCCGTGTGATTTTCCATCTAGCTCATTTAGTACCCCCAGCATATATTTTGAAATATTTTATACTTTTCTTATTGCTATATTTTTATTATAAGACATTATAAAAAAAACAACTTTTGAAATATATTGCTCTACTTTGGATTGAGTACTTTTTAAAAGTAAATGCTACGTACAGTGAATGTTTACTCAATGTGATTTTTCTTTTATATATATATATATATATATATATATATATATATATATATATATATATATATATATAGTCGACTTTCCCGTCGAATTCGACATATGAGGGTCAAGCAGATAAGTTCCCAGGAAACCGACAGCCCGACAACAGCACATGAGATTTGATTATAGTGGTGAAGGTTTCGTGCAGGACCATCCACACTTTTTGAAGGGCCGAAGTGCCACAAGGTCCCCAAACGACCCTCCACAGGTTTGAATTCAGAGTTGCCATCCTTCTAGACCAGTTGCTATCCAAGGCTATAGAACCCAGTCTGTCCTACCATTTAACCATAGCTGGAGGGAGAAGAAGA